TTTAAGAGAAATTTTATTGATTCAACAATTTCATACAATGAATTTTTATTATATTCAAACCTCCTCCTCCATCTCCACCCTCACTACCACCTCCACCCCATCCCACCTCCAACTTTACCTCATCCATTTTACATAACACCTCTGAGCTGGGTGCTGGAGAAATCTTATTGCATTAGAGTGTCAGCGATCTATAATCCTTACATAGAGGTGTGCCAAAGTACAGACCCACTCCCTTTCTTTGTACATGGTTTTGGATCAGAATATGCCCAAGTTTCTTGGAATGGGATTTTCATTCTTAATTTGTTTCTCTTATACACTGCTTAGGAATGTCAGTAAGAGATTTCTCTTTTCCTCAGTAGTCAGAAACTCTTGGTTTTCCCTATCGAAGTTAGTTGTCCACAGCTCTTGCACTCAGGTTACACTTTGGCTGTTTCCAGGCCTCACTCAGCAAAATGACCCCACTGTGGACCAAGGTGTTCTCCAACAGGCTGATTCCCCACAGGGTTTTACTGTGGGTAGATGCAGAAGTCAGGTCCTAATGGCAGGCTGCAATTAGCTCACAGGCCTCCAATCCAAGATTCTCTGAGTGGTAGTTGGGCAGTTTTACAGCTTCACACAACAGCTTTATATCACTGTCCTCTATTTTATTTTCTGAAATCTGTAGACTTCTCATGTCCCTATTGTTGAGGACTGCAGTCAGGTCTTGACAGCCACTGGGTGATGAGGATGGTCAGTCAACCATGGGTATGTGTGGGGCGGCTATGACAGCTCAGTTCCTGCCCACTGGTGCATGGCAGGGGCCAGGCCTGCTCCTCCCTGCTGGTGTGCATGAGCAGCCAGGCCAGCACAGCTCTGTGTCTTCAATCATTTTATTTCTTACTTGCCTAGTCCTGAGTTCAGAATTTTGAGATTAATATGGAAATGCCCATGGTCAGGTAAATATTCATCCTGTGTGAAGGGTTCCTCACATGGTCCATCACACTGCACACGTTTAGTCTCTTGGGAGTTGGTGTGCCCTGGGCCCCAAGGCCAGCTTCCCAGGTCATGCCTCTTTCCTACACCATCTTTTCTTTTCTTTATTATTTTTATTTTATGTGTATGAGTGTATTGCTTGCATGTATGTAAGTACACCTGTGTCATGCAATGCCCATAGAGGTCAGAAGAGGGCATCAGATTCCCCTGGAACTGGAGTTAACAGCCAGTTGTTTGCTGCCATGTGGGTGCTGGAAATTGAACCTTAGTCCTCTGCAAGAACAGCCATTGCTCTTAACCACTGAGCCATCTCTTCAGTGCCTCCCCATCATCTTTTCAACACCATCATTTGAAGCTGTCTTATCATATTCCTCCTTCTATGTATCAAAATTCCATACTGAACAATGAATTCTGGGTTGCAAAAGAGGATTTATTTTTGCACCTGTCTTTCATGCCTTTTAAAAGCAAATTTTGAAAAAGACTTTATTTTTATTTGTGTGTTTATTATATGTGTGCCTGAGAAGGTCAGAATAGGACGTGAGATGAACAGCGAGCACTCTTAGCCACTGAGCTATCTCTCCATCCCCAATTGAAACCAATATCAAACTCTTGAAAGAATTTGTGCTTGTGTGGAGAAATGAGCCCTGTAGACAACAGTCAGTAACTGCCATTCAGGAGGCATTTCTCCACAGTCCTGGGGAGCAGGCCCAGCATAACACAGCACTGTGCTCTCACTATTCTTACACCAGTCCAACAAATATAAGGCCTGCAATGGAAGAGACTTGGATAGGGACAGAGGGAAACTTGCTGGTCTCAGGTTTGGCTTCTACTTAATAGGCTACCAGCCAGCTGGGACCTTCACCCAATAATACATATACACCCCCACCTCACCTCACTCTCTTTGCTTTAAGCCCTGTGTGGCATTTCGCTGTCACAGAAAGGGGAACAATAGTAACTACCAACCTACCCACCATGTCCCTAGGACAGTCAAAGGAGTCTGGGTTAGGTTTTGGGAGCACGTGTGTATGTTGTTTGTTTGGTTTGGCATGACACATTAAATCTTTTGTTTTCTGGATCACTTTGCAAGGGAATATTATAGTAATTGCCAAGAGAACTCTCTGGAGCCAATCACAGAACACTTGTTAAATTGTTTCCTGTGTTTCCCTTACAATGCTCTGCTGCAAACAATTGCTCTTGGCTTTCTCCTTTGCTAACTTATGTGACTATTGTATGATATTTTAGGTTGGACACAGGATCCCTGGAAACTATATCAAGGGTCTTCATGAGCTGAGTTCTTTGGCTCTGAGTACCAAGTTCATTAACACAGAAGTTCTATAGAACAGATTGTGCCATGGTTCAAAAAGTCTCAATCATTGCAAAGCTCCACACTGACCAGCCTGGATGATTTTGTTACTTTATAAATTGACCTTCAGGCTTAGACAAGGGGTGCCTTTCTGATGTTGTGTCCAATATGTGTGTGTTTGTACAGAACTTATCTACATAGCCTTGGACGTTTTAATTAATCTTTCTGTTCTTTAAAATCCCTACTTGTAAAGAGAAAATACGGAATGGATAATGTTAAAGACATCTTTTCTGTGACCTTGAGAAAATAAAGGTCTTTTTAAACAATGACATTTAAGGATTTTAGAATTGAAAGATTGTAGAGGCAATTTTTGTTTTGAAGGGTTTGTAAAGTCATATAAACTAATGAGCAAAGGCAGAATAATTAGGGAACAACTTGAATTTCAGCACACGAAAATAGTGTCTTACTTCTTTAGGAATGACTTTTATAAATGGACATAATCTAGACTAATAACTTTTAATTAACCCCATCAAAACCATATACTCTTACGTCTTCTAACCTGGGCACCTCATCTTGTTTTCTTGGCAACCTCAATTTGGTCCTCTATACAAAAAGATAATGAATGAATGTGGGTATGCTTGAGAATTAATATATCCAAACAGTGAAAGGCCAGTATATCCATCTCCATTGCACACAATGAAAATTGGGAAGGAAGTTGACCTTGGATGAGTGAAATAGCCTAGAACTAGGGATGAAAAGACTAGCTGGTCTGTTAAGATTAGGGTGGAGCCAAGCTTGTGCTTCCCCAATTGAAGCTGGAGAAACTATTTGGAATAAAATTATGGGTGGGACCACACACACACATACACGCACATCCATACACATGCACACACATATGTACACATGCACACACATCCATACACACACACACATACACACACACACACACACACACACACACACCAGTGGTTTCCATATACAAAAATAAATGTGTTGATGTTTATTCTTTTTTAATTTTGGATCACATAATCCCCTGAAATGTGCTTTTATCTTCTCATGTAACATATTGCTTTAGAAAACTGAACATATGGGATTTTATATTTCTAAATATCAAAGCTAATAGTCTATAAACTAAAATACAAATTGCAGTACACTCAGTATTTAGTAAAATACTTATTAATGTGGTCTCCCTACATATGAAAATCATTGCCCAAGCATTTCCCATTGAGAAATCCCTCCTGCCGGTACAGCCTCCTCCTTGAGGTCTAGGTGGTGCTTACATGTGTCTCGTCTGTTCCCTTGAAGTGAATACTTAAGATTGAATGGTTTTCTTTGTGCATATGAGAGGGAGAGAAAGAGAAAGAGAGAAAGAGAGAGAGAGAGAACCTCCTGAATAAGATGAAAGAGGAACTGTCCCTTGAAGTGAATACTTAAGATTGAATGGTTTTCTTTGTGCATATGAGAGAGAGAGAGAAAGAGAGAAATAGAGAGAGAGAACCTCCTGAATAAGATGAAAGAGGAACTATGTGTGACAGTTACTTATTCAAACATTACACAAATTAGCAATTTCACAGTGTTTTCCATTGGACTCTGAGAAATGCACAAACATAACTAATGGCAGATGCTGCTCCACATGGTGGCTGAGAAGCACATGGCAGATGCTGCTCCACATGGTGGCTGAGAAGCGCATGGCAGATGCTGCTCCACATGGTGGCTGAGAAGCACACGTTCTGAAAGACCCTGAGCAGCAGGAACCTCAGCTTCTGTAACAGCCCGTCTTGGTCTCCAAAACCCACCCAGGCTTGAAAAGACAAACTTCCAAACCCTCTACTGGAAATCTAACTGGACTCTGAGTTTGTTGAGGAAAACACCAAAAAAAAAAAAAAAAAAAAAAAAGAATCCCCCCCCCCCCCCTAACTGGGGTTTTTTTCCTTTTTTTTTTTTTCCTTCTTTTTTTCCTTTTTTTTTTTTTGTTTGACAGGGTTTCATGTAGCCCAGGCTCATCCTTGAACTCACTATGTAGCTACAGAGCTGCCTACAAAACTCAAAGAGAACCCATAAACCTAATACGACATTATATTCCAGTGATGACTTCAGTTCAAAACCCAGTTCTTTGGGAAGACATGATAGTGCTAATCTTGGCAAAGAATCTTCATCCTACAGTTTAAAATATGAAACCTATCCTTGTCTAGAATAGCAGACTGTTAGCTATTTTAATTGTTTATTTTTTCACAGTTGCTTTGCCGTATAGTATAATACAAAGGGTACACAGGTTATTCTGTGTAGCACATTCCAAAAGAAGACCTGGAGGGACTGCCTGGGAACACCAGTCAGCAATTTTGACAGTGGCTGCTATGCTAGCTTGTGTCTCTCTGTCCATCCATCAGTCCACTTACCATTTTGTCAAGGCAAAGCTTGTGCTTTGAAAACATAGGTGTTGTAGAGTGGCCCCCAGCCTTCTTCCTCTGCAGCACTCCCTTAGATCTGGTGTTGGGAGATGAAGTTCTTCAGCAAGGTTCGGAGGTCAGGAACAACTTTTATGAATCTTTCAAATGCCTACAACCCAATGGTCTTATACTCTGGCCATTAATTGATGTGTTACCAACAGGTCGTGTGCTTTTCCCTTCCTGCTCAAATAGCTGCTCCCTGGCAAGAAGATACATTCATAGGGCCAGTTCTTAAAGCACAGGTATCTCATTTCACTCCCATGACATCCCAAGGAATTCCTATCTTTGTTGTAGGAATACTAAAGATGCTAAGACTTAAAAAAAAAGGCGAGATGGCTCTTCCAGTGTTCTGGGACTTGTAGTGGCAGAATAAGAAGTTTGTTTTTCTGACCCACAGGTCAGTGCTATTCTTGCCCAGGACAAAGTGGTACCACAGGGGAGGAAGAGTTCTCTGCTGTAACCTACAGATTTTCATGTTCCCCACTTAGGCTCAAGGGCTAGGACCAAAGCCACAGAACTTGGGAATCTTGCCCCCAAGTCTCAGCTCCTGGTACTCATAAGAAAAAATGTGAGGAGGCCTTTAGCAGTGCATCCTGTTCTGGAAGGAGATCATCAGAGATTCCAAGCCCATGAAACTTTGCAGTGATGAGAATGCTCCTTACTGTGCTGTCCACGGAAGATAGAGAACATTTCAATTCTGCATGTCACAACTGACCCCTCAAGCTGTGGCAAGTGTGATTGAAGAAAGAAGAAATTTTGATTTAATTTTAATTAATACTCAATTGTATTTAAGTTGTCCAGTGGCTCCCATATTTGGCAACATAGATAGAGACCCTGAATCAGATGGTTCTGTGTTCATAGCCTTACACCACCTACCTACTGTGTGACCTTAACGACTTCTAAGTCTTTCTAAACCTCAGCTTCCACATCTGAAAAAGGCTGGAAATGGTAGGTATACTGACCTTGAAGGATTGTTGCAATACTTACAAGAAGTATTTGACATAAAAGGACATAGCCGAGGGCCTTAACCACAAAGGCTCTTCAGTCTGCAGTGGGAACCCCAGTTTGGGGTCAAGTCCCACCACCAAGCATATTACCTGTGAAGAAGATGTAGGTGGAGCCCGTTTTGGCCTCATCCCTCCTGCAGATGTAGCCATTGCACAGCTGCCCCCAGCAGCTGAATTCGCCGGTGTCGGCTGCAGTGGAGTTGACTAGGGTCAGTTGCCCATAGCGCTCGTGCTGCTTCACACTGTAAATTCAAGAGACAAGACATTAGGGCGGGGCCTTGCCCAGTCAGGGCCTCCAAGCCGCCATCACTGCTCCTCTGCTCTCTGGTGTAAATACCCCAGTACTTGATGTGGCCTCTCTCAGATGGCAAAAGTCAATCAGAGTGCATGGGGGGGGGGTGGAATGTGGGGGAGATGGATGAAGTCTTTCCTAAAAGGAAATCATAAATGGCGATTATGTTTTCCAATGAAAGGAAATTCTCTTTGGCCTCAGAGCTGGGGTTTCTTTAAATAAGATCACTGGGGGCATTAGCACATAACCTCAGAAACTCAGCCAATAAAACCTCAGGGTTGTGTTGTGCTTTTGGCTCTTTTTTCTTTCTAAAAGTGACCATTGTGGGTGCGAGCACACAGCATAACCGAATAGCCCAACTCTCTTTCATCTCTAAGTCTCCAAGCGTAAGCTTGGAATCTTAGAGATACTACGTGATCATGTGAAAATAAAAGCCTTTTAGATGTTAAGATGCTGGGCTCTTGGTAAGGATGCATCTTAAGTGCTCAGGAACTTCGGACCACTAGGCTTTTCCTCTGGCCTCACCTGACTACTTCTATTTTTCCTTATTCTCTTATGCTGTTATCTTGTTGGCTGGCAAGTAAGTTTGCAAATCCCTAATTCTTTTCTGAATGAAGAGAGACATACTTATTATTATTATACATTAACATTGATTAAGATAATTATATTACCACAGAAATACAGATGTATTATCTTTGTAATAGATGCTCCCCTGTGGCTCATGAGTCTCAGCATGTGATGCCAAAACAAATAGTTTTAATCCAAGGATTCATCTGAGATACCCAAATGCTTTCCTCCCCTGGGATCCACATAGCTTTCTGATGCAGTGGAGAGTCTCCTGTTTATCTTGCAAAAACATCAGTATGAGCACAACTTTAAATTTAGCACATGCAGAATGTCTGGTTGGTGGGTCCTAAACAGGGCCCTGCTCTAGTTCCCTGCTAAAATGCTTATTGTGCCCAGCAGCCCTGACAAGAGTGGCTGTGTACTCCCACTCCTTCAACTGCCTCCTCTAAACTAAACGGAAATCTCTCCCCCTCAGGAAGCTTCTAATTACAATAGACTCTCAGGAATCTCCTCACTTTCTCCTAATGAAGTAGTCGTTTCTCTTGTTTTCTATCCCTCAGATACCCCCGACTTCCTGTTACTACATTTGATACTGATAAAGGAAGGGACGGGCCAAATTTGTTTTATATTCCCCAAGTGGCAAATCTGTGCAGAGTACACTGTACAGATTCCCAAATACAAGTGGATTGAAACTGAACTGAACTGCAAACTTGGAAATGGAAAGAATCTTGAAAAGTAGATAGACATCCAGCTCTCTGCTCTGTAGATGTGACAGTTTGGATCTGGAGTGTCCCCAAAGACCCATGTGTTAAATGCTTTGTCCCCCGTTCATGAAGCTTAGGAGAGGTGATGGAACCCTTAAGCGGTGAGGCCTAGTAAGAGGTATATGAGGACAGCGGGACCCCAGCCCCCTTCCTCTTCCTTTTTAATGACTTCCTGGACATGAGGAGAACCGCTTTGCACCATTGTGCATAAGCTCACGTACCATGATGTGCTGTCCCGATGCTCCCACCTTGATGTGCATCCACAAGCCCAAAGCAATGGGGGCCAGTCATGAGCCCCCATTTGGAAGCTCCAAAACTGTGAGTCAAATAGTAAACATTTTCTCTTTTTGGTATGTGTCACAGTAACAAAATGAATAGCAGATTAGGGCACTGAGACCCAGCAGAAGTGACATCCCTGAGACCCACAGCTAATTTTCTCTTTTTGGTATGTGTCACAGTAACAAAATGAATAGCAGATTAGGGAGGGCACTGAGACCCAGCAGAAGTGACATCCCTGAGACCCACAGCTGGTGACCAACTGAGCAAGTCATTGTAAGTTACTTCATTGTGCACTTAGATAATATAGTCATTAGATAATAAATGCATATAAAGCACTTTGTGCAATGCCTTGTTCAGTGTATTATCATAATTCTTTCTAATTATACATAATTGCAGGTTCGGAGTTGTTACTGTGAATGCCGCTATAACAACGCAAACAATACACACCCTGCACTGGAGCGCGTTAGCACAACAAATGAAAAACAGTAGACTTTAAGGAGACTGCATTTCAACTCAAGGCTAAACACTAATGTGCATGAAAAGACCCAAGAAAGAAGGCCAGGTCCTCACAAAGCAATTCTCGAAGGGACTTCTCACAATGGGTTGAAGAGGTCAGAGGTGGCTTTCAGGAACAGTGAGACTAGCTGTGCTTGTAAAGCTAGGCGAGCCAGCAGTAGACTGACAGACAGCAAGTTACCAAGGAGAGTGATGTGGTCACCATAGTTACGGCACAAGTAGAACCAGAATGGGAGGGACAGAAAGAGAAGGGAGAGCCTGAGATGTGGCTGCCATTATAGAATGAAGCTGGTGTTAAGAGAGAGGCAGGATTCACACCTGACTGGTAAGAGCAGCAGAAGCGATGCATCTGGAAAGGCCTCACAATGTGAATTTCTGTGTCAAAAAGGATGGAGATTTTGAATTTGTGATCAAATGTGTTATTTAGGTATATGTGTCCCATAGGTAGCTGAAAATAGGATTGGGTGCAGATGACATAACACCATGCTAGGTTTGTCTTGCAGGAGTCATTTACATAGAGGTAAAGGTAGAAGCCAAAGGAATATACGTATTCAATAAAAGTTGAAGAGAAAGCCAAAGTTGAAGACAAAATCTGGAGTCAAGGCTAGGTATTCAGCTGGGCATGGTGGCACACTGCTGGAAACCTAGCACTCAGGAGACTGAGGCAAAAGAATCATGAATTCCAGGCCAGCATAGGCTATGTAGTGAGAACGAATCTCAAAAGAACAAATCAACCAACCAAACAACACAATCCCTGAAAGTCACAACAACAATAATCCTGGGGATTCAGCAGAAAAGTAAGAAGTAGGGGCAGGGGAGATAGCTCAGTGGGTAAGGTGTATGCCACACAAGCAAAAGGACCTGAGTTCAAATCCCCAGCACCCACATAAAAAATCAGGCACTGAAGTGTGTATCTATGACTACAGTGTCAGAGCGGTGCCAACAGGAGGCTCCCTGGGACTTCCTAGTGAGTCATTCTGGCCATTTGGTGAGTTTCAGGTTCAGAAAGAGACTGGTCTCAAAAAAAAAAAAAAAACAAAAAAAACAACAACCAAGATGGACAGTGTACGGGATGGACTTGAAAACAAACGAGCATCTTCCCAAGGCATCTGCACCACTCTGAGGTCTGGACTCCTGTGTGTTCACCTATGACATCTCCACTGTGTTCTCCACAGTGTCAATGAAAAACAAAACCAAAATACAAACAAAATAAGGTGCAGAAATAAGAAACGATTGAGGAAGACACTTGATGTCAAGCTCTGGCCTCTATACAATGCACACCCAGGTCAACAGAATGATCTCTCTCTCTCTCTCTCTCTCTCTCTCTCTCTCTCTCTCAATGAAGAGGTGGATAAAGAGGATAAGAAATGGGAAAAGAAAACACCAAAGAGGTCATAGGAGAAAGATTCAGGAATAAATGTTCAACAGATTCAGATGCCTTTAAGAGAAAGCCATCAATTATGAACACATACAACAATTTCATTTGGCACTGTGAAAGTCTCGGGAAACTATTAAAAGATCAATTTCAGTCTTAAGTTTGGAGTCAACTTCAGAGGGTTAAAAAAATGGCAAAGGGACGGGAAAATGGAGGTTGGGGTCTCCTTGTGGGGACCATGACACCTGGCCACATTCCTGTAGAGATCAGAATCAGGTATAAATACCAAGCACCTACGCCGGGCCCAGCACTTGCTTGCATTGTAGTGACAGAAAGTGTAAGATACCATTTCTCCCAGGAAGATGGGCAGGCACATAAAAAAATCTAACCCTTGAAGCTAACCCTGCCGCCACCATGAAATCAACATACTGTATCTTGAGCAGGATAGGGGGCGGAAGGAAGGAAACACACTGGAAAACATTTCTGCATTTTTCCACCCCCTCTTCTATGCAAGCTTCATAAAACAGGAAACAAATTATTTAGCAGGATTACATTTGAATGCCTGGATTTAAAATGCCCATTTCTATCAGTGCTCTTGCATGACCCAAGTATCAGGCTTCCCAGGGAGTTAAGATAGGGCCAAATCCTCTGGCTGCTGAGCATGTGCCATGACACAGGAAAGAGGACACACTGAGCCCTGCAGAGCCAGTGTCTAAATGGGGGTGCTTCATCCAAAGACGCTTCCTTTTTCTTATTACCACTGAACAATTCCCCTAGAGTTGGAAGAAGTGAAAGACAGAGAGCTGGGAGTAAACAAATGCTATGCAAAGGTAGAATAAGAGCTTCAGTGTCAACTTCTGCCAGAGCATCTCTGACATCCTAACACATCAGCTTATTTCAAGTCTTTTTCTTTCAAACCAGCACTTCTGGGCCTCTGACCTATAGAGTGATGGAAGAGGCCAGGATTCAAGAGGTCAACCTTTAAGCCTTTTTTAAGAGTTTGTTCAATGTTTAAGACTTTTACTCCTGCCCGCCCCTGTGTGTGTGTGTGTGTGTGTGTGTGTGTGTGTGTGTGTGTGTGTGTGTATGTATGTATGTATGTATGTGTGTTCTCATGGACTCTGCAAACAGAGAATTCTGTTCCTGTTAACACAGATCTGAAGGTTCATGTAGTCCAGCTTGCTCTCTTTTAGAGGTGACCCAGCTCATGGGCTGGGCACAAAGAAGGGAACCAGGATCTCCTAGAGGAGGAGAGTATGGTGCCTCTCACCCAAGGCAGTGACCAGGTAAACAGTGGGAGTCTTACCCCAGACTCTAAAAGCCAAGAGCAAGGAGTGAGTTCTGGGTTATAAGACAATCATTCGTTAATTTCATAAACACTTTATTATTGTAAATTAAATGTGAGGCACTAGAGTGGAGGGGCGCAGAGATTCTAGTGAGTTCTTTCAC